GCAAAGTCATCCGATTTCGTTGTTGTTGCAAATATAGGTGCGAAGAGAGTGATAATCCAACGCAATCGCCATCCACGAGTAAAGCGAAGCGGGGAGGAGGAGATGGATAGAGCGCATATCTGAGGAGCGCGCTACAATCATATGCACTGGGTCATCAGAAAAAATAGCCGCCAAAAGCGACATAGTGTATGAAGCTGCATGATGATGAGAGAGCGAAACTCCAAAGAGAACGCCGTATTGTTGTTCAGAACGATGTAGAGGGCGAGCGGCCTAAGCACCAGCTTATGCATTTATTGTTGGTGATGAAGTTGAGAACTCCAGTTATAAATGATGCACGGTGACTTGGGGTTTTTTGATGGAAGCTTGACAGGTGTAGATTTACGCAATGGTTCTCCACCCAATGTGTCCACCACGGTAGACTCCAAGTGCTCTCTATCCCTGTGAATGAATCGGATCACCGTAACTGATTGTGGCCAGAACCGCTGATAATACTGCTCCGGGACTCCAAGCTTAAAGTTAATGAACTTTTTTTGTTAATGAATAGCATGATAAGCTGTCAGAATTTTCTTTTAACTTGTCAGAAACAAACTTGCACTACGCAGCTATCACATTGCCACAACAGATTCGGCACAATGGTAAGCAATTTTATTGCCTCTTTAGGAAAATTAACACAAGAAGTGTGGTAAGTGCGATGAACATCGAACAGCCTCAAAACCGCGAAGTTGCGGATGCGTAACGGCAACATTGCACTCAGAGCACGTAAATGGGGTCATAACGAAATGAAAACCGCGTCTGCTCGCAACGAAAGCTGATCAGAGACTTGACTATTGGTGCGGTGCTATCACAAGGAACGATGGGAAGTGATCGCCCAATCGCATTTGCGAACAGAACGTTAAATAAGGGTGAGGTCAATTATTCCACAGTAGAGAAGGAAATGCTTGCCATAGTTTGGGGTATATAACACTTCAGACCATACTTGTTCGGTCACTATAGTCACAGATAACCGCCCACTAACTTGGCTCATGGGATTTAAAGAACCCAATTCCAAGTTGGTGAGGTGGAAGCTGCAATATTGGAATATTGGAATATGACTACGAGGTGACCTACAAAAATGGTCACAAAACGTCGTGGCAGAGGCCTTGAGCAGAATTGAACTACAATTTCACAACAGTGAACTAGAGGCCACTTGTGCGGGTCATACAAGTGAACTGGAATTAAGTATCATTCATGTGGCGGAAAACCCACTGAATGACTTTAATATCCAGTTAATATTTGAGGTTGGGCCGATACCAGGCAGAATAGTGGGGACACATTTTAAGAACAAAATATGAAGGACAATTACAGAAAAGGAGTTCACAAAAGAAGAAATTGGAAATCTTAGTGAAGTGCTTAAACCATACAGGATGTGTGCGATATACACGTCAGACGAAGTCTTTAAGAAGGTTGAAGAAGCGTTTCTGAGTTATTTTAGCAATCGCAAACTTTATAAAACAGTACGATGTCTTACCCTGATGCGGGAAATAACAGATATTAGTGAACAAAGAGAAGAAATAAAATGGTATCCTACCCCAGGTAATCATAGGGGAATAGATGAAACGTTTTGGAAGATGAGACGTGACATTTATTTTCCATTTATGAAAAACCGAGGAACACAGGTCATTAATGCGTTTGAAGCTTGCCAGACATTGAAATATGATCGGCAACCACTAAAGGTGGTATTTCAAAATACGGAAACTCCGTGCAAGCCACTTGACATCGTTTATACGGATTTATACACAATCAACAAAAACTAAGTTATAACAATAATAGACAAGTTTTCAAGGTTTGCTGTGCGGTACACCATACCGTCAAGAGATAGTTTAAATATTGTTAAATCAATAAAGAAGTTCATAATTCAGTACGGTGTCCCTAAAAAGATCGTATGTGACCAAGGCGCAGAGTATGCCTCGGCATTATTCAGAGATTTCTGTAGACAATACGGAATTGAATTGCATGTGACGTCGTTTCAACAATCGTCCAGCAATTCACCGGTTGAAAGGCTTCATTCAACGCTGACAGAAATTTATAGAATAAATATGAAAACAAGGAAGGACTTAAAACTAAAAAATTAGAATGAGGAAGTTTTAGATGAAGTTTTCCTAACATATAATAACTCAATACACTCTAGTACGAAATTGAAGCCGTTTGAATTGTTCTCTGGGAGAATACACAATTTGAACGGGAGATTAATTTCGTTACGGAGCATGATCACTTAAGGAAGTTAAATGCTTATCAGGAGGAAGTGTATAAGGAAGTTAAGGACAGGTTAGAAAGACAAAAACTGGAAAGGACGCGAAAACTAAACGAGGGAAGAGAAGAACCCATGGAGTTGGAAAAAGGATATGTAGTTATAGGAAGGAGAATAGATGAAATAAACAAACACCTAGGTTAGCATACAGTAGATGAGGATAATGGGGTTACATTCGATACAAAACGGAAACAAAAGATACAGTTTGTCGAGAGTCAAGTCAAAATTCTTATAAATAAACAAGTATATGAACTAATAAATATACAGGCACAAATAAACGAAACAGAGATAATATTTAGGGTAAGAGTTCCAATTTTTGAGCCAACTGTCTATCAATTATATCATGTTATACCAATTCCAATTAATGAGACACATTTATTAGTAATACCAAATTATGTAGCAATCAATAAGTATAAAATAAGCTTCTTTAACAACCAATGTTCAAAAGTTCATGAAACTTTTATTTGCGAGAGCGAAGGGTTGGGTGTTAAGTTAAAAGGAAAGGAGTGTTTGAGGAAGATTATAACGAACAAACCACCAATATGGTATTCAGTAAATCTGGAGGGGAGAAAAATGGTTTTGACACCTGAGGATGGACACATATTCATTTTCAATGCCTTGGACTTACCTGTAAACAACAGGTGTGGAGAAGTTATGACAGAATCGGGGACGCTAGCAATCAAATATGCAAACTGTTCGATCGAAATAAATGTCATAAAGTAATTTCTAGAAAATTCTTTGTTAGCATTTATACACCCACACTTACATAATTGTAAACACATAAAATTCTTCGGCGAAGGTTCGGTTTGAATCTCAAACCACAATAAAGATAATTCCGTTTGGAACAACCTAACCGAACACATAAACTGTTTGTTAAAATCCTCTCTGAATAATAATAACTACAACTTACTATAACGCAGGCGACCAAGACCTTGCATAATTTTTAGTCCAGCCTAAACATTTTATAGATAAGAAAGCAGTTTGTATTAGGGATGCAAAGGGTGTTTCTTGCTGCAGTGGAATATAGCGTTAACTTTACTTAACCTTGAAATCTAGATGTTCATCTGCGGAACGGCGAACGCCTTCGACGTAACCTACAGTTGGGTGAGTGTAATTCTCGTTGTATATGAACCTATATGTCCTAAATTAGCCCGTATCATTCACGTTTGTAAGAAACCTATAACAAGTTTAATTATTATTTTCTTTGAGAGTTTGCGAAGCAGCACACTCAAATAACCTATAACGAAAATTCCTTGTAAGCGCGGATAATTTAGAAAACAGAACCTTGAAATAAATAATGTGTTAGTTAAGGTATAGCGATAGATAAGAAACCAAAATGAAAGAAATATTATACATCCGAAATAAAGAAAATGTATAAAGTGTTGACTTGCTAAAGTTTAAAAATTAAAAAATTAGCTTATGTAGGCGGGTGTTGTTAAATTACAGAGTCGAAGAACGATTGAAAATTAAAATTGACGATTAAAATCAGGAGATCGACGAAAAGATTACGTAATTCCTGGAAAACAGTACGACAGATGAGAAAGTTGTTAGTATCAGCAGTAGTGACTTAAGGTACAGATGGAAGATTATATGCCCTTTCGAGTTCAAGCATTTTCAAGCAAATATTAGTTGTATTTACTCGGATTTGGCCACTAAATAGTGGACTGCCTGACCCAAATATAAGAAAATCACCTCAGGTGTCAAAACAGCAGACGGAAAGCTCTGCTTTTGCCTTATAAGGGGCAAGAGCAGCCCATGACTTTGTATATTATTCCTTCAATATCAACCAGAATTATTCTAGGAATGGACTTCCGGAAAGCTTTTAACATCGCTCCAGGACTCATCTCCGCTATAGAACTGACAGACGGAACAAAAAAAAAACAGATGAGGAATAAAGCCGAGTATATCCCTTAAACGTAGAACAAAGAAAACGTATCGCGGTTGTTATTCAACTTTTTCCCGATTTCGCTACTCACGGTCTGGGATAAACATCGTTGATTCAGCATGAGAATGATTTGGGCTTTGCTAACCCAATTAAACAACGTTTCTATCCCATTTCGTTAGCGGTCGAACGGTTTATTTTCCAAGAAGTACAGCGCACGTTGAACTTGGGTGTAATCGAGCCTTCAACCAGTCCGTGGGGCTCCCATATGCGCTTAGTGGTTAACCCTGGAAAGGTCAGATTGTGTCTCGATGCTAGGCAAATAAATAAATGTAAGATTGTGAAGTAACATAAGCGGAGAAGCAGCAGGATAAGCAGTGTATCAGCAGAGAAGCAGCAGAATAAGCAGTACATCAGCCAAAAAGCAGAAAGCAGTAGAGAACGCGTTATGGATTATTTTGATGATAAAAGAATGGGGGTTCTAGAAGGAGGAACTCAGCAGAAGCAGAGAGAGAGAAAAGTGGCGCCGAAAAAAAAATGGCGAAAAAGCCGACAAAGTCGAACACTTTGTATCTTTTTATATTTACTTTACGTAATAATAATAAAAACAATTTGAGATTAACCTTCTCAACTCACATTTGGGGGCTCGTCCTATTCTAGAAAGTGCAAGTGACTACGCCGTCCCGAGGTGTCTCAGATAAAATAAAACGCGAGTTACGAACGCCGATGAGTGAGACGGCAAAAAAGCAGGAGCCTTCTAAGATACCAGTTGTAAAAGGGAGACAGCTGTACTACATAAGGTCAGTTGCCGCAGCAGTAAAAAATCTTAGAATGACTGCTCCGAACAACGAGAAGCAGAAACTTGAAGAAGCAAGTGGTGGTCAGAATTTCGGAGCTATGGCTACTGAAAGCTGTTCGACCGCCGAGAATACAAGGACCCTGAAGGATCTTGTCCAGCTCCTCGCCTTAAAAGTGGAAATCGACGAGCAGAACAAAACCAGCAGCTCAATTACTGCGGAAAGCTTTGCAAAAATCATTCCTGATTTTGACGGTGAATCCATACCGGTCAAGCATTGGTTTGACAATTTTGAGCAGAATGTTGAAGCTTACGGTCTGAACATAAAGCAAATGTATGTACAGGCTCGTGCCAAGATGACGAATACAGCAAAATTGTTTTTGGATTCTACTCACGTACACCAATACACCGAGATGCGCCTTTTGCTGGAGACGGAGTTTAGTCGTCAATACGTGTGCAGCGCGGATCTTTATGAGCAGCTCCGTACTCGAAAAAAACGCAAGCAGGAATCTTTTCACGAGTATCTTTTGCAGATGAGGAAAATGGCAGCACTTGGCAGCATAGATGCACGTTCTGTAATACGCTACATTGTGGACGACCTAAATCTGAGGAGCGACTTCAAATAAACTCTTTATAATTGCAAATCTTTCGGAGAGCTGCAGGAGCAGGGAAATAAGCCGTTCCCGTCGAACGACAGTAGTTGGACCTCAAAGCAGAAAAAGCAGCACGAATTTAACGACAAAAAGAGACATTGCTTTAACTGTGGATCTGCCGATCATTTTCGCAAGGATTGCAAGGCCGCCACGAACAAAGAGGGTCATATGTCTAAAAATTGCCCTGGATTAGATGCTGGTGTCCAAGTTGTGCGCAGTGCGAATCGCATGAAGAAGGTCACCCTTAACGGCGTCGAATTGGAATGCCTGGTAGATACCGGCGCCAATGTATCCGTGTTGAGAAAGTTCATCTTCAACAAAATTCCTAATGTTATCGTGGAGAAAAGTGAATCGAAGCTGCGTGATCTGGGAAAGAAGATCACATGCCCAATTGGACGTTTTTTTGCCGATGTCGCGGTAGACGATGTGACGACTTCACAAAGCTTCGTTGTCATAGACGATGAAGACATTGAATATGATGCGTTGCTCGGATATGATTTCGTCTCTAAGTTCAACCTGTCATTGTCTCCAGAAGGATACAAGTTTTCTTCCCTGCAAAGGGAGAAAGCTTGTGAGGAACCAAATCAGATTAATATTTACAATATAATTAATACTAATGACGAAATCGATGTTCCTTCCCAGTACGCAAAGGAAGTGTCTATGCTGATAAAAAACTACAAGGCAGCGGATTTGGTAGCAGAGGTTCCAGACGGCGAGATCATCCCATTTCGTCAGTCCCCGAGTCGATTCGCCATTGCCGAAGAAAAGGATGTCGAGAAGCAGATCGATGAATGGTTAGCTGCTGGAATTATACGCCCATCTACATCAAACTTTTCTAGTCGCCTGGTGCTGGTAACCAAAAAGGATGGCACGCGTCGTATTTGCGTTGATTTTCGTATACTGAATAAGATGGTGCTGAGGGACTGCTTTTTCGTTCCGGTAAACGACGACGTGCTGGAAAAGCTGCAAAAAGCGAGATATTTTACAGTGATGGACTTGAAGAATGGCTTCTTCCACGTTGCTATAGAAGAGGACAGCAAGAAATACACAGCATTTATTACCAAATCAGGACTCTACGAATTCAATAGAACCCCTTTTGGATTAAGGAACTCGCCGGCTGTTTTTATTCGCTATGTAAACCATGTATGTATGTATGTATTTCAAGAGCTGATGAAGAAGGATATTCTTGATTTATATATGGATGACCATTATCTGACCTGCTGCGAAAAGCAAAAGCCAAAGCAAAAGCCTTATATCTAGCGGTAAAGAAATTCAGACAATATTTGCTGTGATCGCCGTTTAGGTTGATAACAGATTGCGTCGCATTCAAGCAAACCCTACAGAAGGCGGATGTGCCAAGAGCAGTGACGCAGTGGTTAATTTATCTGCAGGGCTTTGAGTTTGCAGTTAAAAACTGTCCAGGCGAACGACTTAAGCACGTTGACTGTCTTAGTCGTTATCCCAATCGTGTTATGCTGGTGTCTTTAGAAATCACAGATCGAATTAAAAATGCTCAAGGAAAAGACGAAATGCTGAAGGCAATAATGGAAATTCTCGCCAGCCATCCTTATGAAGGATACAAGATGAAAGGTGGACTTGTCTATAAGGAGATAAACGGCAATGATTTACTTGTAGTACCAAGTGTGATGGAAAAAGATATTATTGTAGACGCCCAATTCAGGTCACTTTGCTCTTCAAAAAACTGTACATGCTGTTCAACAATCCTATTGGATTCCTCATCTGGAGCAAACGGTTTAGCAGGTTGTAAGCAACTGCGTAAGATGCATAATTTTAAACAAGAAAATCGGCAAAAGAGAAGGACTTTTAAACTGTATTGAACAAGGTGATCAGCCGCTTCATACGCTGCACGTTGATCATTTGGGTCCCATGGATGCGACTAGAAAGCAATTATTATTAATATCGGGGTGTCCAGTGTACCGCGACCTGTAAGATCTATTGTACCCCCATTCAGAGCCTACAGCTCAGATATCAACCCACTTCCTCGAATAAAGTCGAGGAGTTTTAGTGGGTTGATTCTTCCTAGGAGCTCAGGTGTAAGAGTTCTGGTTCCTAAGATTTAACATCTTATACTTGCTAACGCCGGACAGTCTGCAATGATGTGTCTAGAGGTTTCGTCCTCTATGTCGCAGAATCTGCAAGTTCTACTGCTGGTTATTCCCATCTTACCTAGGTGGCTTTTCAGTCTACAGTGCCCGGTTAGTAATCCGGTAACGATCCAAAGTGAATTTTTCCCCAGTTAATTAAGTTCCTTGAACCTCTTCTTGTTATAGTTATTTATTTGAGTTTTGGCTTGCCTTAGGCCTGGGGTATTTCTCCAGTGTTCTTGTCCCATGACGCCTTCCACTTTCCTAAGGTATTATTTTATAGTGTGCCTCCCTATGCCGCAGTAGGGCTCTGGGCCTACCAGGGGCTGTTCGGCTCCTAGTTTTGCCATTTTATCGGCAAGTTCATTTCCGGATATATCCTTATACCCCGGAATCCATCTGAGGGCCAGCCTGTTTCGGCTGCCCAGTAATTGCTGCTCGGCTGTCCGAAAGGATCGATATGTCCTTTTCCTTGTATCCACGCTGTATGTTGAGCTCTGCACAACGTCCAATGGCACATACCTCAGCCTGGAATATGCTGGTGTATTGGCCAAGGGAATCGTGGTATTTTATGCGAGGCCCTACCACTCCAAGGCCCGTGCCTTGTTGTGTCAGGGATCCATCTGTGTACCATGCTATGGTGTGTTTAGCCATCGGGTGCACTTCAGACAGTGTGGTCCAATCTTTCTTATTGCCTAGGTGTGCTGTGAAGTTCTGCTCGAAGATTAGTTCGGCTGTCATTTCATCCCTAGGGTGGAGTATTAGGGGCACCACACCTAACAGATTAGTCGCATCCCTGTTATTTAGAATGCAACCACTACCTGTGCCCTCAGTGCTTATTCTCAGGAGTGTAGCTTTGCGTTGGATATCAATCACATAGTGGAGTGGTGTTAGCTCCATCAAAACTTCTAAGGCAGTTGTAGGACAGGTCCTCATTGCCCCTGTCATGCATACGCAGGCAAGTCTTTGTAGTTTTCCTAGCTGGTTTTGCATGCTGATGAGCTTAGCTCGTTTGCCCCATGCAAGTGCTCCGTAAGTGAGGATTGGTCTCACGATCATTAAGTATAGCCATCGTATTATCTGAGGCCTGGTTCCCCAGGATTTCCCAGCAATTTTCCGACAGGTATAGAGTGCTCTGTAACACTTTTCCAATGTCTTTTGGACATGGGAAGCGAAAGTCAGTTTACTATCCAAAGTGATTCCTAGATATTTAACCTCTCGGCTATTTTTTATAGGAGTTCCTAGCAGTGAGATTTGTCTCATTCTCTGTAGTTTGTACTTCCTTGTGAAAGGAACGATGACTGTCTTAGCAGGATTTAAGTTGAGTCCAACCTCCCTGCACCAGTCCAGCGTTGTCCTTAGTCCGAGTTGGACGATGTCGCAGAGTGTCGCTTCAAATTTGCCTCTGGCGATTATCACGATGTCATCGGCGTATCCCTGACATTGAATTCCTTTTCCAGCAAGTTTGCTGAGAAGGTCATCTACTAGCAGACTCCATAGCAGAGGGGACAGTACTCCTCCTTGCGGGCAGCCTTTGCTGGTAGCAATTGTCACTCTTTCCGAACCCAGTGTACATGTTGCTTGCCTGGATTCAAGTAGGTTGCCAATCCATTTGCTCGTAGTAGTGTCTATGTTCCTTCTGGACAGGGCAGCTCGAACTGCATCATGTGATGTGTTGTCGAAGGCTCCCTCTATGTCTAGAAAGGCACAGATAGCTATTTCTTTGCTGTCAATTGCCACTTCTAGGGTGCGACATAGTTGATAAAGTGCAGTGTCTGTTGAACGGCCTGCTCTATATGCATGCTGTGTGTTTTGCAGCGGACAGTCTCTGAGAGCTGTTCTTCTGATGTTGTAGTCTACCAGTTTTCCAGCGTTTTAAGACAAAACGAAGTTAAGCTGATAGGTCTGAAGGACTTTGGGCTGGTGATGTCTTTCTTCCCGATCTTGGGGATGAAGACCACCCTAACGCTGCACCATGCACTTGGGATATACCCAAGGGCTAGGCTGCTCACCATTAGTCTTCTTAGGCGGGTTAGGAGTAGTTCCTTCCCCTGCTGTAAGAAAGCTGGAGAGATCATGTCTAATCCCGGTGATTTAAATGGTTGGAAGGTTCCAATAGCCCATTTGAGTTTCTCGGGCGTAACTATAGATTTGGCTGCTGCCCAGTCACTGGCTACTGTCCTAGGGGTTCTATGTTGATCACGCCTTGCGTTTCCCATAGTGGGATTATTCCCCGGGAAATGCGTGTCAAATAGGAATTCTAATTTCTCCCGATCCGTGGAGGTGAAGGTGTTATTCCCTTTCCTCAGGGCTAAATTACTATCCGCTGCACTTTTAGCCATTGCTTTTTGCAGTCTCGCGCCCTCGTTGACGTTACTTATTGCCTCACAGAAGTTCCTATAGTTTTTCCGTTTGGCCTTCCTGATCTCTTTGTTGTAGAGCGTCAGGCTTTGCCTGTATAGTTCCCAGTTTCTATCAGTTTTTGGTTTGTTGAAGAGCTTCCGAGTGGTTACTCGTAGTCGTTCAAGACTAGCATTCCACCATGGTGCGTCTGTTTCCCGCCTCTGTCTACCTAGAGGACAACTGTCTTCAAAGGCATTTACTATCTTGTGGCCCAGGTTGTCTACCGCTCTGTCTAATTCCAAGGGATGTTTAGGGTATCCTGACGGTTCGTTGGAAAGATTGAGCTCTAGAGTTGACCTGAATTTGTCCCAGTTTGTTTTTCTGGGGTTTCTTTTAGGGTTACATCTTTTTGTTTTGAAGGCTACTTCAAACAAAATTGTCCTGTGGTCGGACATTGATTCTTCTGGTGACACATGCCAGTTCTTAATGTGAGGTTTAAAAGAATTGGTTACTAGAGTTATGTCTAGCACCTCTTCTCGTACCCTAGTAACAAATGTCGGCCTGGCGCCGACATTACAGATCTCTAGGTTATTGTTTAAAATAAATTCTAGTAATTGCTCACCTCTGTTGTTGACATCCGTGCTACCCCAGATCACGTGATGTGCGTTGGCATCACATCCTATGATGAGGGGGATCTTGTTCGTCCGGCAGTGGTCCACTAGCCCGGGTATTCCTGGCGGTGGACAGGCCTCCTCCCCGGCAAAGTAGGCGGAGGCCACTGCTAGCTTCGGTGCAGCTTCTGTGCCGTTGATGGTTACGGCGACGCAGTCTCTGCTCATGAACTCTGAAAGGATACTATAATTGATATCTTTCCTTATAACGATGCATGATCTGGGAGGTGATCCTCCTGGATCGCATATTACCTTAGTGTCCTTCGTGTACAGGCCTTTTATGCCATGGTGCCACCATGGCTCCTGTACAAGGGCTAGCCCGAGGTGTTGGGAGGTGAACATCCTCGCCAAGACAGCAGATGCTGCTTTGACCCGATGGATGTTTACCTGGGTTAGCCGAGTGCTGCTTGTTGCAGCCATCACTCCGAGGTTTGATGCTCCGTGAGGTCTGGTGAAGAGAGAGAGCAAGTCTCTCCACCACCGTCTATCACGGTAACCTCGGCTTCTTCGCAGCTTTCGTCCAGGAGGAGCTCCTGGGCCAGCTCTTGGGATGACATAGGGTGTCCGGAGCTCTCTTGGTCTTTTTCAGACCGCTCACGGTGACGTGGCCAAACCGGAAGTTGAGTTTGTGGTCACGCTCCACTATATCATCCCTTCCGGTCTGGTCCATCCCTACGACCAGGAGTGCACCAGCTCCGTCGTTCTTCCTGGAGATGACCTTCCAGGCGTCCGTCTCGACCCGGTTTTGGAAACCAATGACCTTCCAGGCGTCCGTCTCGACCCGGTTTTGGAAACCAATGAAGGCCAATATTTCCTCATTGGTCCGGTCGGAGCTCCTCGGGCAGAACAACGTGGCGTTGTACGCTGCCGGGATGTCTGCTCCCGTGCGGGTTTCTAGGGGTACTCCATCCACGTCCGCAGCTGAGGTACGGCAATCTTGAGCCAATCAGCTGAGCCTTCATCCAGGCAGTCGATAATCAGGTAACCCACCCTGAAGTGGATTCCCCTGAACACGACGGGACCGCTCCACGCTGACGTGAGCATCTCGTCCATGACCGACTCCTGGAGCCCGAATAGTTCCTCTGCGGTCAGGCTGGCCGCCGGGAAACCCTCCGGGAGTATAGCCACCCTGATGAGGGTGGCTTTCTTGGCAGCCTCCGCGTAAGTCGGACGGGGTCCGATGACCGGCGGTGCCGAGCTAGAGGGTCTTCCTCCAGCGGTTGTCGGCTTCTGGTTTTGGTGGGGCTGGGAAGGTATCTTCCTGGCCTGCACTTTTGCCTTTTCTGCCGCTGCTGCTGATGTGCTTGGCCCCTCTTGCTCAGGGACCCGTGAGGACGTCTCACTAGCCCCTGGGCCGTGCCTAGACCTTTTGGGGGTGGTGGTGTGCGGCTGGTGTTCAGCCGTTTGCCAGCCGGTGCTGTCCCCAATGCCGGCTGCTCCCTCGGCTCCTTTGCCTTCTTCAAGGCCTCCTCCGGTGTCATGCCCTGCATGAGGTACCTCAGGTACCACTTTACCTTTGACCCTGGCAGGCCACGCCTGTTGGGGTCGTCCAGTCCTCCGGGCTGTCCCAGGGCTGGAAGGGCGTCCTGCTTCTTCAGCTGTCTGATAAAGGTTGGCCTATCAGATGCGAGAGGTAGCGTGCTGGCAGGGTAGCTCCTGCTGGCACCCCACGCTCCCTGGCTGGGAATGTCTGGGCTGCTGGTGTAGTCCTAGGCGGGTGCGCTGCCGCCTGGGGTCTGTCGCCTTTGAGGGATCTTTCCTCGAAGTGTCCTGCGACACCGGTTGCAGGGATATCCTGCGGGATTTTTATTGTTTTGTTTTTCTTCATGGGGTCCCACGAGTTGCGGAGAAGTATGTGGTCCGCCCGGGCAGAGATCCGCCGTACCCGGGTAAGGCGTACTTAGGACAGACGGTCGCCACTTGCCTGAACCCTCCGTTTGCGACTGGGCTATTTGTTAACTCGGGCCCCCAGCCAGGCTGACTATCGGCACGGGTCGAATGACACCTTAGTCCGGCACCGAGGTGAGATGTGGGGGATAGGATGGAGGTAGGTAGTTGTGAGGGAGGGGGTGTGTAAGGCTACGGTGTTAAGACGGCCAAACAAGCGTCTTGTCGGTATACCTCCATCGGTATACCCGCTGTTTGTCCGGGGTTGCTTATTTGCTTACGCTTATTCGCAACTAACCTTCCCAGAAGGTCGTTCGCTATCCGCAACCTGCGACCCGCCTGGTGGCCTCAGCTAAGCCTCCCTTCGAACCATCCCACTAGTTCTTGAGGACCAAGACTGGAAAGCAATATAAATACATATTTTCAATGGTGGACTCATTCACGAAGTTTATATGGCTTTTTCCTACAAAGACCACAAGCTGCGAGAAAACACTGAAAAAGCTCGAAATTTGGTCCGAAATTTTTGGAAAACCAGTGCGTATTTTTTCCGACAGAGGCTCCGCTTTCACAGCCAACTTGTTTGCAGAGCACATGAAGGAAAGCGGTATTGATCACGTTTGGAGCACAACCCGAGTTCCCAGAGGAAATGGGCAGATAGAAAGGGTAAATCGCACAATTTTATCGATAATCTTCAAGATTTCAGCAGAGGATCCAACCAAGTGGTTTAAGGCGGTACCACTGGCGCAGCGAGCAGTAAATTCTCATGTGCATACATCAACAAAGAAATCACCATTCCAGTTAATGTTTGACGTGAAGATGAACAATAATCGCAGCGATCGTATAATACAGCTTTTAGAGGATGAGTTATATTTACACTTTGATGAGAACCGGCAGCAACTCAGGCAAGAGGCAAAGGCCAATATTCAGCGGGCACAGGATTCATACAAGAAGAATTTTAATCTGAAGCGGAAACCAGAAGAATGGGGGTTCTAGAAGGAGGAACTCAGCAGAAGCAGAGAGAGAGAAAAGTGACGCCGTAAAAAAAAAGCCGACAAAGTCAAACATTTTGTATCTTTTTATATTTACTTTACATAAAAATAATAAAAAACAAGTTCAGATTAACCTTCTCAACTTACTTAAATGTCCAAAAAAAGATGCTTACCCGATTCTAAACATTGATGGAATATTCGCAAGTTTTCCCAAAGCAAATCTCATTACAAAAATTGATCTTAAAGACGCCTTTTGGCTAATCCCACTTACGCCCAAGGCCAGAGAGATTACAGCATTTAAGGTACCGGGACAACTATTGTTTCAGTTCACGGTAATGCCTTTTGGCCTATGCAATGCCCCGCAAACAATGAGTCGACTAATGGATGAACTTATACCCTGCGAGTTGAGGAATTGCGTATTCGGATACCTTGATGATTTGATAGTGGTGTCGGAAGAGGTCGACAAACATTTAGAGATTTTGACCCGGCTAGCAAAGAACTTCAGAAAGGCCAACATGACTTTAAATATTGCAAAGACTAAATTCTGCATGACGCAAGTTCCTTATTTGGGATACATTATAGGAAATGGAGGCATCGCGACGGATCAAGCGAAGGTTAGTGCTATACATAAGTGGCCAGTTCCAAAAACTTTAAGACAAACTCAAGGATTCATGGGAGTTATTAGTTGGTATCGAAGGTTTATTCGTAATTTCTCGGATCTCACCTATCCGATTACCGAATTACTCTCGACCAAGAAGAAGTTTAACTGGAACAGCGAAGCGTTTGAAAACTTGAAAGATTTTTAAACTATTTTGCAGAATCCAAACTTTAGTGAAAAATTCTATGTGCACTTTGATGCCAGCGATTACGGCATTGGAGCAGTCTTAGTACTGATCACCGGCGCAGGAGTTCAAGGACCTGTCGCTTTTATGTCTTGTAAACTAACATCCACACAACGCAAATATAGTGTCAGCGAAAGGGAGTGCCTCGCCGCCCTGGAAGCAATCGGTTTCGATGTTACAGGGTCCGGCACTCGAAGTGTTACCAATTAAAAAGGTTATAAATTAAGTTTTGAAAATTTATTTTATTTAATTCAAATTACAAAATGTGTAAAAACAATACAAAATTCAGAAACAATTCACTTTTGATCGATATGTTCACCTTTTGCATCGACCATGCGAGCCTCGTTTGGTTAATGGGACAACGAGATTTGAATGGACGACCAGATGGGCTATGAAGCTACAAAGTTATCTCTTTACCGTCAGCCATCGCAGAGGAAAAGATAACATTGTTCCGGACGCGTTATCTCGTTTCTATTCACCATCAGCAAAAATAATGGCTTTGAAGAAATAACGACCCGAGGTTGATTTAAGTGCACAAGAATTCAAGGATGAGGCGTACCAGACGTGGAAAAATGCAATCAAAATATGAAATCTTCAAGCGGGCGATATATCTCAAGAGGCAGAAGCGCCTTACAGCTCAAATAGAGAATTGCATCCCCGATGAATTAGCTGCGCTGGAAGCTGCTAGTTCTGGGACTTTAAATTATAATTCATTTCGCACCTAAGAGGCGCTTATATTTGTATTCCATTTTTGTAAAATTATCAGTAGTTTTATTATATTTATTTAGGATTAGAATCAGTCGCATTAATTTTATATTGTTTTTTGGTGTGGTGTGTCTTTATGTCATAAATATTAATAGACTGTGAACGCAGCTAATATTACAATTAAATAATTTAAAATGGGTGACAGCAACAACAATAACATAAACATAAATCCAAATCGATCAAATAGCCATGCGATGTTAAGGGTTCTCGGAGAGAAGAGAGCTGGTCTTAGTGTGTGTCATATAAATGCTCAAAGCCGCACACGAGGCTTTATCAATTCGAGTGTAGATGTTATATGTGTTTCTGAAACTTGGTTTTTTCCTAACTTATGTGATGTTTTAATTGAATGCGATGGCTATAATTTGCATCGTTCTGATCGTGATAGTCATGGGAAGTGGGGTTGCAACATATGTGAGTTAAAAGTTTTTCCACGTTTGTATGTAACACTCAATCAGTAGTGCAATCGAATACTTATTTATAGAAATTAGATGCCAAAGATATGCTGTTAAGCTACTACTTTGGTGTATATACCGACCTAATTGCCGGTCATTAAATTATTCGGACGTCATTATAACAGGCGATTGTAATAGCGATATTTTAAGGGAATCCCACCTTGCAGAGGACATGAAATCGCTGAGGATGAAGTTGGTTAACTTTGTGTCCCCTAAGCATTTTACCAAAACCCGCAACTCGCTTTAAGATTTATTTTTTGTGTCTGATACAGGCAAAGTAGCTACATATGACCTACTTATTGTCCCATCGTTTTCAAAACATGACCTCATATTCTTGACTTACGCACTTGACCTATAATACCTTGACCATCTAATAGTTTTTAGGGAATTTAGATAAATATCAACTATGACCTTTTGGACTCCACCTTTAATTTGTGCAATTGAAATGACATATATTCCCTTTCCGAAGTAGACGAACAAGTTAACCTTTTACAAAACAATATTTGGTATTTATACAACGGTCTCGTGCCTGTTTGTAGCTAAGTTATTCGTTTTCCTGAAATACCATTGTTTCAAAGAAACATCAAAGACGCAATATTACAGCGTGACGGGGCGTACAATAAGCGAAGAAGGTACAGGACACCTCAAGCTTACGCAGTGTTCAAGTCATTCAGAAAAAAACTTACTGACACCGCCAAGACAAATTTCTATTCCCGTAAATTCAACAACGCATCTTCCACTACTCAGACATGGAAAATAATTAAAAACCTGGGAATATGCAAAGTAAAACCAAAACTTGAGCAAGACATAAATGTTAATGAACTTAATAAAAAGTTTTTTAACTGCACAGTACCTGAAATCACTGAAAATTAATATCTGAAATATAAAACAGAAATTTATAAAAATACTGCTGCCAAAGATCCTTCCATACATAACGTATACCTTTAATACTGCACTGACAAAATCTACATATCCGGCAAAAATAATTCCGATTCCCAAATCAAATAATGAGTACAAACCCATATCCATTTTACCATTCCTATCAAAGGTTTTTGAAAATCTCATGGCTGATCAAATTAATAAATTTATGTCCGACAATGCAATGCTTAATAACAATCAGTCTGGTTTTAGGAAAAACAGAAGATGTACCTCAGCTATTTTAAAAATTGCAGGCGACCAAGGATCTGTGCTTGGTCCCTTGTTGTTTACATTATATGTTAATGACCTTCTCAAACCGTTATCTGAATGTAGTGTACCCTTGTACGCTGATGATGTCAAAATGTATGTGAGTCGTCCCTTAATAAGAATAAATAAGTGTATATATGTTTGTAAAAAGAACTTGCACGTGTTAATGAGTGGACTTGGGATCGACCCATCAAAATCAAAATGTTTTCCCATAAGTAAAAGAATGATAGCTTTTAAAAATTTACAGCCATTTACAGTATAAAGATGCGAATTATAATTTTTCTGCAAAAAATTATTATCCAAAAAGAACTTTCGAATCATTTCAAAAAATTAATAAATTTATGTCCGACAATGCAATGCTTACTAATAATCAGTTTAGCTTTAGGAAATCGAGAAGCTGTACCTCAGCTATTTTAAAAATTTCAGACGACCTAAGGGAACAAATAAACGAAAACAATGTTACACTCTTAGTTTTACTGGACTATAGTAAGGCCTTCGATACAGTAAACCATAGTGTCCTTTGTGCAAAACTACGTAATATGTTTATGTTTTGTAAAACTTCTATCAAACTTGTGTCTTCGTTCCTACAAAATCGTCGTCAATCTGTTGTACTGCCTAGCGATTCGTCTTCATATGAAAATGTTAATCGTGGTGTATCCCAAGCGTCTGTGCTTGGTCCCTTATATGTTAATGACCTTCCCAATGCATTATCTGAATGTAATGTGACGACCCACTGTCACAAATATATAAAATTCAACTTTCACATTAAAGCTTAAAAAGAACATTCCAAATACTGACTTTTTATTATTCAAACGCGCGCCCAAAGCCAACAGCACCCGGTCACATTTATTCGACGAAGTTATCGATTACCGATAACCATCGCCAAGTAAACCCGGCAAAGCGGGATTATGATCATCGTCCAATCTGGTCACACTAAGCAGCGCCTATATAAGCGGAGACACAGCCCCAGACCAGTCTCTTGCGTTCCGACGATTCTCGAGGAAACAACAAGTAGGAGGAATACCCGGGTAAGTGTTCTGGTAGTTAGTCTTGGTAAGAGTTCGGTTTGAATTCGTCTCTACGACCTGGCGGGGATCACCGATGCCCGGTGTTTCCGACTCGAACGAAGAGACACGACGACGTCAAGCAGTTGACAATCGGCCCTTCCGAAGCTCAGACACCAAGTCAAAGCACATCGTCGACACCAAGCAGTGAACCTATGTACATCGCAGCGTAGATACCAAGCAGTGCACCCAGCTACCGCACAGCGTCGAGAACAAGCAGTACACTTATTCATCATACATCGGCAACGCCAAGCAGTTCTCGCTATTTCGCAAAGCCAGCAGCAAGCAGTGCAACATACGGCCCTTCCGTAGCGCCGATCCCGCACACCAAGCAGTGCGATACTCAACGAGCTGCGATATACTCGGCCCTTCCACAGCGTCGATATCAACAAGCAATGTGATAACATTCGGCCCTTCAGCAGCGCAGACGCCACTTAGCAAGCCGTATCACGCTCGATATAATTATAGTTAGAAAACGTAGTCTTAATCAATTGTACTATTAAAATATAACCATACTGTTTAGCGTTCGATTTGTGTTATTCTTTGGGGAAAGGGAGGTAAACCGATCAAAAGAGGAAATAAATTTCTGTCTCGAACCCTGGCCACGGCGAGCTATACCGCCTCCCATAACAGGGTCGTTACAGTGGCGCCCGAGCAAATTGAACACAAAAAGACAGTATCCTCAAATAGAAACAC